AGGGGTGTGGTGAGACTTAACTGTTATAACGATTAAAACAGATACAGAAACAGCAAGGGCTAGAGTGATGTGTCTGTTCAGCAGAATGTGGGGTCTGGCAGGAGGCACAGAAAAGGCAGTTTTAATTATAAATGAATTTATAATGCAATTTGCACTTAATACATCTGGCACAATATTTTTCCGTGGGAACTTCCAGGATGCTGGGCTGAACAAATTGAGTGCAGCTTTCACTAAGTTGTACTAAGTTGCTCTAAACAATTGCATTTGTAATTCAGCAAATTCCTGACCTTTGCTTGGTGAATAAATTTGGACAGTAAGATGAATGCACATGCACAAAGATGGTTTTTGCTTGACATTTAAATCCCATTAATGAGCATGAGTAAAAGAATAAAATTCTAAAAAAATGCAGGTTGTTTCAATAATTGGAACAGTAATGATTCAAATGTAATTTTATATTTACCAGTTAATCACTCATGTGAAGTTTTCTAAAGGAAGCTGCAGAGCCAGAGACTAAATTAAAAGTAGTAGGTTGGCTTTCTGTAAGGGACACTGCCTGGAAATAACCTGAGAAGCGTTTAAAGTCAGCCCGTGAATTCAGGTTCCTGGCCTCCCCAGTGTGCCATTGAATTCCAGATAAAAAGATCAATAAAGTCTAGTTCCTTGTCTCTGAGTTCAAATCCAATTCTGGTTGTGGTTGTTAGTGATGGCTTTTTTTGGGGGGTTGGTTGTGCTGTCGACAATGTGCCTGGTCAAACAGCATATCTTAGGATCATGCATCATTTCAGAGGTCACTCAATTGAGGTCAGGGACTCTTTGCAGATTGTTTTACCATATATTGACCTGCAGAGAAGTACTTTGTGTTTGTTGATTGTATTCTTTCTGTCCTTTTCTTTTTTTTTTTTTTTGATGGATGGAAGGTGAAAAAGATGTATATTTTCATCTTCTATCTTTGACCCCTCCCCAAAAGTTAAGCTGTAACAGATGGTATCAGAGAAAGATTTTATCCAGATCATCTCTCTAGAGATGGTATAAGTCCAGCAGGATATAGTGATTTTTTTGTTGTTGGAAATATTGACAGTTTTAAGAGGGAATGAGGTGTTTCTCACACTGCTGTAAAAAGCTAATGTGGTTAATTATAGGAAGGAAGTGAACAAAAAATGAGGAAGCAACCTCCCCTGTTCATCACACTGGATAAAACAGAGAATCAGATGGGGAGGAAAAGTGCTTGAAGTATTGTTCTTGGAGAAGTTTTTTCAGTAAATAGCTCCACTATGTGTAGACAACTATGAGCAGATGATTTTTATTTGGTTTTTTTAGGTAGGTCAGAAGCTAGAGGAAGATAAACTTTCTCCTGTGGACATGGATTTGAGACTAGTGTATACGTCATTGCTTATCCAGCCCCCTTGTGATTGAGAATCATTCCTCAGTTCCCCCTTGCAGAAGATAAAAACAGTGATGATTGCTTAACTATTTGGAAGTTGCAAGACTCTGTAAATAGGTAAATCCTTTTATCTTCTAAAGAAAGTAGCCATGCAGTATCAGTTGAAAGTGAAGCTATAATGTATTAGTTGCAGTAGTTGGACAGTCTTGTTTAGTCTGATTACTTCTCCTGCTCTGATTATCTCTTGCAGATGCCAAGGAAGCTTTCCATTTGCTGGCTAAAATGCAGGACTCCAAAGTGGCCAACATCAAGGCTGTTTTCTTGGTGGTGCCTTTGTATCTTATGCTGTGTCCTGACTCTGGTTCCACTGGAAATCACTGCCATCATTTAGTGCTGACTGTTAGACTGTGCTGACTACATAATATTATGAATATGCATAAGTCCATGAGTTTTTTTGGTGATTTGTGTGGGGTACTTCTGAGGCCTCCCCTGGAAATTTTGGTGTAGATGGTTTGATTCAGGAGCTTCTTACTTAGACACAATTGTAGAAGCCAGATTCTGATCTGCAGAGTCTGAAGGTGAGAGAGCTGCAAAATTAATGGTTAAGTTGTTTATTGTTAGAGGCAGGCAAACAAAATGTCATGGATGAAAGATTTCTTATAACGATAATGCTGAAGTTTTGTTGGCAAACTTGGAAACTTGTAATTGTCTTGAAGATCAAGCCCCTTCAGGCTGCTTTTCTTTGGATATCTCCCCCATTCCTGAACTGTACTCTTTGGACATTTCCTTGGCTGGATGCAGTGATTGTCTGTCGATTGCTCAGTCAATAGGCAGCTGAACCAACTGCCCTGTGCTGGATGCTAACAAGCACAGAGGCTGATCTTGAAGGCTCTCCTGATTAAATTTTGCTTACAACACACCAATCAGTCATTTGGTAGGATGAGACCTATAAATGGTCCCCATGTGTTTTTGTGTAACTGTCCATGGACTGTCACACAGATATGAAAGCATGTACTAGGGAATGATGCCCTTTGCAGATGACTTTGCAGTGTGAGAGAAAGACTCACAGGTAGGAGGATGTTAGCTGAATAAATGAACTCTCCAGGGTTTTATATCCTCCATCAAAAAGTCTGGCTGGATTCAATAGGGACAAAAGTAATGGTGAACATAAATTACATTTTCTAGATTCTGAGGCAATTTTGCCCTATGCATGTGGTTTCTAGATAATCTTAAAGAAAAACTAGTTATCCATCAAATTCTAAAGAGTATTGCACGTTAGATGTGATGTGTCCATGGGCACATTGCTGAAGACAGCTGGTAGCTCCCCTGCAGGATCACAGGAGCTTGGAAGCAGAAGCTGGATGCATTCATAGCCTGCAGGGATTTGCTGGTTTAACCAGGACTCCTGGTTTAAAGATTTAATCTGAGCTGATGCAAGATTCAAGAGATCACAAAATCACAGAATTGTTAAGGTTGGAAAAGACCTTTAAGATCATCAAGTCCAACTGTCAACCCAGCACCACTACCATGTTCACCATTAAACCATCAAGGCTTTTCTTTTCCCTTTTGGAGTGCTTCAATTTACTTTTTGTGAACTGTAGTGACTATACTAATGCACAAAGCTGAATACCCCAAAGGTCTCCAGAACACACTGTCCTATTGGATTTTTAGGTGTTCTTAGGGGAGAAATTGTCCTTTTGTTCTCAGGCTGTGTCTGTTGTGTTCTTGGCACAAAACAGGTAGCAGTTACTGTGAGAATGCAGACTGCAAGTTTCAGTGTGACCTGATTTCAATAAAGTTTTCAATATGCAGGTCCTAGGGTTGATTCTTAAAAATTGTTTTCATCACTTATTCAACAAAATACCTTATCTAGAAAATTCAGCATGTGCCAGGTTTTGTCAGAGCACCCTATACAAAAATTGTTAGGTTTTCCTGATGTAGCATGAACTAGGTTGAGACATCTGAACATTTATTTAAAAACTGATAATCTGGCATGTTTAAAAACAAAGATTCTTGCTTCTCTAATTTTAGCACATGGAGCTGCTGCCCAGGAGTTCTCAGTAAGCAATGACATTTGCTTGCAGTCTCTAGGTCACACTGCCCAGTTTTTTAATTGGTACCAAGCTGGGCTTACAGGAAGCATCAAGATGTTTGGTCTGAAAATCTCCACAAAAGCTCTCTCTCATAATGCAGTTGTTTTTCATTAGTCTTACCCAAAGTAACACTGATGAGGAGACTGATAGTGGAAAAGAGCTTCTTTGGTGTTGCTTGTAATTAAACGCAGTGACACGGATGGCACAGCTCTTGCAAAGTGACTGCTTTAATCCAGTCTGGCTTTAAATCTGCAGGAATCATTGAAAGCCAAAATAAGCTGTGTTTAATTAACAGCTTCCAACACAATTGCTTTGGAGTGTTGCATCTGGGACCCCTGTGGCCCTGAGATTTGCTGGGGATGGGGGGGGCTGACATGCTTCCTATTGTTGTTGGACTCCTTTTGCATCTCTGGTCTCCTCCCAGATGTTCCCAGCTGTCCCATCTTGTGTCAAGTATGATTGTCCAGCAGCTTTGGATTGTCAAAATTAGCTAGGTTAGGGGAAAAAAAAACAAACAAAGAGAGAACAACTTTTTTTTTTTTTAAGCTAATCCAGATCACTTGATTAAAGCAGGTTTAGGGACTGATTACATGAACTCTTATGGTGGTGGATTGGAGAGGGTAAGAGATGGGGTTGAGTGGAGGGTGACGTTTAGAGGAGGTGACTGTGATTGAGCACAGTGCTGGGGACCTGGTGAGGTGCTGTCTGTGGTCCAGCCAGGATAGCGAACTGGATCTCCTGGCCCAGCTCCCTGTGAGATGTTCACCCACTGGCGCTGCTCCAGCCATCTGTGGATGAGGGTGGCTGAGTGCTGGGATGGCTCTGCTGCTCCAGCATCTGTGTGTTCCTGCCAGGGTTGACCGGGTCCCCTGGTCTGACATAACGGGGTGGTTGTTGTCTGAAGCAGATTTTAACCTTCCCTCAGGCTGCTTTCCCTGTTGAGGAAGTAGAAGAAATCTGGTGAGCAGCTGGGAACTGATCTCTGCTGATCTCATTAGAGCCAGGAGAGGACAATTTTTAGTTGCTTTAAAAGCCATTTGAGCTTGTACTTGTTGAAAACCTCCTGGCTGTTCTCCCTTTTTTTTTGCTTTCTAAACTTCCTTTCCTCATCTCAACAACTTTCCTACATCTTTCCTTGAGCAAAACATCTCTTGTTTACAGATGGCACTGCTCTTCCAGGGTTTGGAAGGATGCACAGGAGCATTGCTGAGAGAGCATTGCTCCCTGAACCAAGTAGATTCCCAGCAAAGGAAGTCTTGGACTTATTCTGCTGTGATTACCAGACTCTATCCTACTTAAGACACACAGAGCATATGCAACCTGAGCAGCTCTCTTAATGAGACCCTCACATATGTACACTGAAACTGCTTTCTGTTACTCAGAATGTCTCTCAGTGATACTCCAGATGCTGCTTTGCCATTCTTGGGGGGATAACTACAGTCTTTTCCAGTCTTTGAGTAAATATAGACATGCACTATGTGCATCTGCTTTGGGAAGTCACTGTGATCTTTGTGTTGATTTCCCAGGAAGGATGACAAATCAGGACAACCCAAGATGTTTCTGGCAACAGCGTCAGATGTCAGAATTGCAGCAGGTCTGTTGGGGCATGGCAGAGGTGGGTTTTTTCCTTTGTAAAAGAAAGACGAGCGGTGTGGCAATCTGAGCAAAGCAGCTGTGTCATTACTGCTTTATCTAGTAGTGAGATTTAGAAACAGGATTTGGGTAATAAAGACAGGCTTCATGCTAGTTATTAAAGCAAACACAGAGTAAGAGAGATAAGCCCGCTGCATTTATTCATGGATAAGAACATAATATATAGGAACACAAATACTTTGTCAGAGGAGGTCTGCTCCTCCTGAGGGTACTGTTTAATTGCAGTTGCCTCAAGGCAGCTGGACCCCATTTGTGAGGTGCTGCATGGGAGAAAGAGCTTGTGACCTCTTTTGTCCATGATCAAGGGCTAAGACTCAACTGACTGCTACATAACAAGTTGTTGCTCCTTCTCCTCTGGGGCGTGTTCATGTATATGCTTTTAGCCATGGATAACATGGACTAATTTAGCTTGATTTAGAGGCACACATGAAGTCTAATTGTCACACATGTTCCAGAGGTTTGGAGCGCACACAGACCATTGCTGAGACCTGGAAGAGGCTTGTTAAGCACAGCATTTGTATAATGACCCTAATGCCTGCTTTAACATGAGATATGGCAGGCTGGTGCAGCAAAAGGAGGGTGCAAAGCAATAGTGATGTTATTGAATCAACATGTCTGTCTTGGTAAATCCTACTCCAAGTCATTGCTCCTGGTTCACCAGGGGCATACAGAGGTGAAAGAGCAGTTCTTTGGGCTCCTTTCCCGTTCATGAAGCTGCAGAGCAAGTGGCATGGTAGGAAGGGATTTCTGGGGGATCTCACATGTCTAAGTGGGTTGTGACTGAGCATTCTACCAAAATGAATCCAGATTGTTCTTGAAAAGTTCTGAGGCTTTGCCTTTCAGGTCCCAGCTCTTCTTTCTAACTTGATTCCTAAGAGCAAGTGATGGGTCTGATCTGAGGGTTTTAACCTCTGTCAAGTAGAAGGACTGAATTCAAGCCTAGGTTTGCTTTTGGTTTGTAGCAGATGATGCACAACACACATTGCCACAGCCTGATCTGGAAAGAAATTCCGGTATTTCTAAGAATCAATTAATGAATGTTAGTAAAATCCTGATATGTGTTTAAGACCATTTGTATGGCTATCAGTGTATGGTTTGTTTTATTTTCTGTGGCAGTGCCTTGGAGCTCTAGCATCATTGTGCTAGATTTGTGTAAGCAGAGAATAAAAAGGTGGCAACAAAGGTATCTATGTAATGACAGGTGTGTTTTGGAGATAGAGTGGTCATGCGTACCAGTCTTCTCTGTTTCATGTGGATGCTGAGGTAAGCAGTGCTTGACTGACTGGTAGGATAGAAACAGCAAGCTATCAATCTTTATTTGATTTAATATGTCTTTCAAGCATTTGGTTTAACACTCAGGTGCATATGTAGATCTTTCTGAAGTGGGCTATTAACCTGACTCTTAATGAGGTCAACAGTCTTAGTGTAATCTGATAGAGCAGTACAAATGAAAAATGCTCATCTCAAATGGTCTTTATTTTCTTGTCATGTCATATGACCCAATCACTCAAGTTTGTTCAGTTTCATTTCACAAAAAAAAAAAAAAAAAAAGGCAGCATGAAAGAGAACAAATTCTCTTGGAAAAGGTTGTGTAGGAAAATAAGTCTCTGAAATTCTGTCCTAGATTGAAACTACCTCTCAGGGTCAAAAAATCCCGGGTGTAGTGTGTTGTCTCAACTCATTATGGATGCAGTCCTATTTCTGGTCCCAGCCCTTCTTAGCGTACCTCTAATAGAGATCATCACTGAGATGATTTTGACAAAGGAAACAGTTTTAGTCCTGTTTGTTTTTGAAAGTAGCTGTCCCAGTCTCAGCAAAACATACTTGTGCTGGTTTTGGCTGGAGTAGAGTAAATTTTCTTCATAGTAGCTGCTGTAGGGCTGTGGTTTGGATTTCTGTGGAAACAGTCCTGATAACACCAGGATGTTCTAATTACTTCTGAGCAGTGCTCGCACAGAGCCAAGGCCTTTTCTGCTCTTCATTCTGCCCCACCAGCCAGGAGGCTGGGGGTGCACAAGGAATTGAGAGGGGACACAGACAGGACAGCTGACCCCATCTGACCCAAGGGATATCCCAGACCATACGGCATCATGCTCAGCATATAGAGCTGGGAGAAAAAGGAGGAAAGGGGGGATGTTTGGAGTGATGGTGTTTGCCTTCCCAAGTCACCACTGTGTGTGATGGGGCCCTGCTTTCCTGTGGATTGCTGAACACCTGCCTGCCCTTGAGAAATGGCAAATGAGTTCCTTGATTTGCTTTGCTTGTGCATGCAGCTTTTGCTGTTAAACTGTCTGTATCTCAACCCACAAATTTTCTCACTTTCATGCTTACAATTCTCTCCCCCATCCCAGTGGTGGGGGAGTGAGCGAATGGCAGTGTGGGGCTGAGCTCCTGGCTGGAGTTAAACCATGACATATACTAAATACTTGAGGGATTCAGGTTTGATGGAAACAGCTGGGAGGACATGTAGAAATAACATCCAGGATGCCTGGGATGGATGCTCACTAAGTGCGTCCTCCAAAGGTGGAGAGGGCAGTGATGAGGGGAAGTCTCTCATCTGCTGCCATCACCATCTGCTGCTTTGTCTATTTCAGAGTCTTACCTTGAGATGTTCCCACAGACCTGTCAGAGCTGAGAATGATATCTGGGCTCCTCCATGTTTTCTTCCTGTCTTACGTCCATGTCAGTCTTCCTCTGGTATTTCTTTTAATAAGCCATGTTTGAAGGGAGAGAAATGGGTAAAGATGATTTTGAAGTGAAATATAGCCCTCTGGCATCATGGTCAGAGGACCAGAGGGACTGATCCCAGAGTAATGTCTCCTGCCCTCTGGGAGGCAGGGAGGGAGGGAAAGGAGCCAACAAGCTTTTGCTTACTTTGAATTCTCCTGAACTCTCTTGGTCTACATAATTCTATATGCTTTAGAACTCAGAACCAAGGAGTTTATATAATTAATACCATGTTTTTCTAATGCCTTTGTCAAGATGACTATCTTGTTACCGCCAGCCACATGAAGATCACATGCAAATAAGATGAAACATCAGCTGTACTTTAGCAGGATTTATTTTTATGGGTAGATTTTAATGAAGCTGGTGCATTGCATTGACCCATTGCTGGGTATCACTTGCTTTTCCTACATTTCAATGTGTTGCTGCTTAGGGATAAGGCTGTTTAATTGATCTCCAGTTGCTCTTCAGTGTTTCTGTAACATTCAGAAAAGCATTTATCACCACTGAAGGAATGGCAGCTGTAGCAGATTAAGGAACTGGGCTGGTATGAAAAGAGACAAATGTGGAAAAGAGACATGCTTGGCACTTGTGATTTCTCACAAGTGTTTTTTAGATGGAAAGCTGATTTCTCTCTCCTTTTTAGTGCTGCTCTTCTAGTTGAAATGGAGGGCTGAAAATGGAAAAATAAGTGATTGCACTGGAAAAATGCTCTTACACATTTGTGATTTGACCTTGTGCCAGTGCTGCTGACTCATTAACCAGTAGGTTGACTAAAATGACTCCTTTGAATTGCTGAAATCACATTTAAGATGGCAGCTTGATTTTCTCCTTTGTCCCTTGCCTGTTGCCACCTTTCCTTGGACTCTGTCTTTAAGTTGTAGTGCCACAGCTTGTCTGCATGTCGTGACAGCCTTGCCTGTGTGACGTGAGCCCCAGCTGTGTCCTGGTTACTGAGTAACAGTAAATAACAGATAGGAAAAAGTGACTTGGAAGAGGCAGCTTCTTAAACCACTTGTTAGCATGAGTACTCTGTGCTAGGTGGGGACCTCATCTTGCTGCTGCCCCTTGGTCTGAGCTGTCCACCTCCTCACAGATGCCCTGGCAGGATTGTGTGGGGAGGAGGGCTGGGTGGCAGTGTCACACTGTGCTGTGGGAGCTCGGGCATGGGCCTGGCTCACACACCAGAGCTGGAGGTGCAGGGTGAGCCCATGCATGGGCTGTCTTGGCAGGATGGGATTACAAGCATGAAGCTGCCTGTCCAGTCAAGGTGACACTCTTAGTGCAGGTGCCCCAGGCAGGTGCCTGGAGTCAGCTGAGGTGGATTCCGGCCCCCATTAACAAAATGCACAGCAGACATAGGGTGGGATGAGCCCCTGTGGCTGACACCACAGGGTTTTTGTGAAGGGAAGATAGGGCTATCTCATTTGCAAAGGAGCTGAGCAAAACAGGCTGGGAGAATGGGTTGGAGATACTGTGTGAGGGTGCTTAAGGTCAGCTTGGTGTCCTTTACTCTTCTTCCTAATCCAAGAACAGGGGAAATGCAGTGAAGATGGAGGTTAGTGAGTCTAATGGGAGTGAAGAAGATGTTTGTTAGCTCCGTTTACTGAGGCCAGGAGCTTAGCGTTTTCCAAAAACTCATACACCTACATGGGTGCTGAGATTCCCTGTTTCAGGACAGACAAAGATGATACAGTTTGTGTGTATCCTATTTCATAGAAATGCCAGTGACAGCAGATTCTTCCCTCTGCAGAGGGATAGTCAGGGCTGGATCTTGCCAAATGGCCTCCCAGCCTGTCCCACCTTGGCAAGCTGCTGTGGGGGTCAGACATCACAGGATGATGAGGGGGCAGAACCATACAGGGCTTTTGTGTATCCTTGCTGCTGAGGGTCAGGTTAATGCATTAGGCTGTTTTATCTGCTCAGGTGGAAGTCTAACAAAGAGCTTTCAAAAATCAGACGTTTTGAAACTTCCAGCAAGACTCTTTTTGTGTCAGCTTTTTGTGGCTACTGTGGCACTTGAGACTAATCACACCTGCGACCTGGCTCAGGAGAACAGTGTTTGTGATAGGCACTTGTCTGCAGAACCCATGTTGGCTGTTGAATCCACTTATTTGATCCCTTGGGACCCTTTTAAGCCCTAAAGAAAGCAAGGTGATTATTTGGAGCTTATTTAGTGAGCTAGATGCACAGAGGTTTTTTTGCAGCCCCTGCCCCAGACCCTTC